TCTGGGATTGTCTATTGAAGAACGGTGTGCTTGAGAAGTTTATTAACATCCTAAAAGCCCTATATACAAACACCTCAGACAGAGTGAGGGCATACAACCACCTTTCTCCATTGTTCTATTCGCGCAGTGGGGTTAGGCAGGGTTGCCCAATCTCACCATTCCTCTTCAACTTTGCCATCGACGACATTCTGGAAACAGCTCTGACAGATGTAAGTAATGGTGGTGTGGATCTGTTGCCTGGAGAAAGACTTCTCGACCTTGAGTATGCGGATGATATTGTCTTACTGTGCGATAATGCCCAAGGCATGCAATCCGCACTTTTCAACACATAGATATTGGTACAAAGAGGCACCAAATACATATACGCCACACAAATCTCATTCGATATGTGTGAGGGCTGTGATACTGCTCGGGTGCCCAGACCGGGGGCCACACCCCGAGCCTTCGACCTGAAGGTCTGATCCACAAGGCAGTGGAGCATCGTAAGGAGATGCAGTCGCATGGAAGCCGGTGACCAACAATTGGTTCATTCGCCATTTGTTCCCGCAGGATACTGGAGCCCATGTGCACCATTGGTTTGGAATCCGGTTAAAGCTCCGGACATTCGCTTTTCGTCCTCTCATTTTCGTAAACAACACCGGTGCCACGATAAGGCAGTGAGTAGGACTTCCCTGGTAGAGTCTATATACGCGAGGCCGTGTGAGAGTATTTCGAGAGGGAGAGCGGACTCTCCCCACTCTCGGCCGTACCAGGGCATTTGGGGGCAATCCGCACTTAATCAGTTGACAATCAGTGTCCGTAGGTATGGCATGTGCTCTGCACATTCGAAGTGCAAAGTACTTCTACAAGACTGGCAGGATCCTAATCCCGTACTCACCCTGTATGATGAGCAGATAAAAGTAGTCGAGAAGTTCGTGTATCTGGGTAGCTGCATAAGTGCTGGTGGTGGTGTGAGTGATGAGATCGATGCACGTATAGTGAAAGCCAGAGCGACTTATGCCAATCTGGGCCATTTTGGTGCCTTCGTGATGTCAGACTGGCTGGTCCGAGAGATGGTGCTACACAGTGGCTAGAGACGTTATCAGATATGGCTCAGAATAGAAGCCAGTGGCGATCCTGCTGTAACCTTCTCTTACTTTCTTCATAAAACGTGGTTGTATCTTCCTTAACTGAAAGATTACTTCTGATTGTACCCTTCTGTTCCCCTACTATTACTGTTATTATTATTATTATTATTATTATTATTATTATTATTATTACACTACCTTACACCAATCTCTTCTTTATTGTTTTCTTTAAAAACTTTTTCACGTTTCTCACTTTTTTCTTCTTAAATTCTCATTGTTTTGTGTGGCGCATATATATTTTGCGCACTCCTGTACCAATATATATGTGTTCAAATAAATAAATAAATAAAAAGATCATAGGCATACTTATCGGCGTCCGACAGTGGTGGTCTTTCTTGACTTAAAAGCAGCATTTGACTCGGTAGACCGCGAGATTCTGTGGTAGTGTCTGTCATTGAAAGGCGTACCCCAGAAGTACATAAACCTTGTGAAGGATCTTTACTCTAACACCACCAGTCGAGTCAGAGCTTATGGTGAACTGTCATCTGCTTTTGCAACCTCAAGTGATGTCCGTCAAGGCTGTCCCCTTTCTCCATTTTTGTTTAACTTCATCATAGACATACTGATGGAAATAACATTCTCGTCGACTGAATTCTCGGGTATTGATCTCCTTTCAGGTGGTCCACTTATTGACTTAGAATACGCAGATGATATAGTCCTGTTTGGTGAAGACTCTGATAAAACGCAGAGTCTTTTGGTAGCACTAAACAACAATGCCAGAATGTTTGGAATGCGATTCTCTCCCTCTAAATGCAAGTTGTTGCTTCAGGACTGGCCTGCGTCAACACCTGAACTAAGGATAGGGAGTGAAGTAGTCGAACGCGTCGACAACTTCACTTGTCTTGTAAGTCTGACCAGCCCTAATAGGCTGGTATCGGACGAAATCCCAGCACGGATTCAGAAAGCTCTTTTGGCTTTTGCCAATTTATGTCACTTTATGGCGAAGGCGAAATATCCGCCTATCAAGTAAGGGACGAGTATACTGTGTGATAGTTCGTTCTGTTCTACTTTGCGGTTGCGAAATGTGGATATTAAGAGAAGAATATACTAGTAAGCTACTAGTATTTGACCACAGATGCCTTAGAAATATTGCTCGCATCTGCTGGGGTCACCGGGTAAGTAATAGTGAGGTTAGACGCAGAGTATTAGGGAATGATGGTAAATCAGTTGATGAGGTTGTGAATCTTCATCAACTGAGATGGTTAGGCCACGTGTTACGTATGCCTGAACACCGATTACCACGACGTGCAATGCTAACCGGTGTTGGAGATGGTTGGGAGAAAGTTGTGGGCGGCCAAACCAAAACGTGGCATCAGTCATCCAAGTTACTAACTTCTAGTCTGAGCCATGTTGGTAGATGCAGATTACTTGGTTGGGGTCCGCGTGACTTTCGTAACCAATGGTTGGAGACCCTTGGTGACATGGCTCAGAATCGATCACAATGGCGTCGTTGTATACACTTTTTGTCTTGCCTTAAATCGTGAGATTAAAATGGCTTTACGTATTTCTTTCTAATTCTTTATTCCTGTACTATATCCTTATATGTGATCTTTGTTTTATATATTACCACTACTGAATTAACCACTTCTATGAATCCGGTGTTCATCTTTTTGTGCTAATGAGGTATGACAACTTGGACCGATTCATATATGTTTCTGGTCGTACGTTGTAGCTGACTGAATTATTGAGGTCACAACTTGTGTTACATATTCCAAGTCACAACCTACATGAACACGCGATATTAGATGGTGGGATAATAGAATGAAGGAAGTTATCAGTGGCCAAGCTGATAAATGTGATTAGTCAATGAAGTCATTGACTGTTGAACTGAACTGCGTTAACAAATGCAGACTACTTGATGTTTCGCGCGATAGCTATGATCAGTGGTTAGAGATGCTGATTCATGCCGGTAACAATCGGTCGCAGCAAGACATTATCACTTATACTTCATCTTACTCAAGATCTTGAGCTTCATTCTTCCTTATACATCTTTCCATTTCATTCTTTTTGAGACATACTCTCTTTTTCATTATCCTTCACTACTGCACTATTTCGTCTTCTATGCTAGACGTGATGGTATGTTCTAAGAGTGTGGTTTAACATTGATTATGAAGAGAAAGAAAAAGAATGATTAAATTTTTCAATGTTCACATTTATGTTTACGATCAACTTACAATATTCAATATAAACTAATTGTATTGTATTGGTCTCCTTTACTCTTTTTACTTTCAAGATTATTTTCATTTCATCAATTCTTTCTGTCAATATTCTTCATATATGGTTATTCTTTACATTTTCATTTTTCTAAATAATGTTAACTAGAATTTTTAATTATAATCTATTCTTTTAATCAGTATTGATTATTGAATAATGATTTTAGGAACATGTAGTGATTGCTTTACTTCAATGATAAAATGAGATCAGTTGGAGAATTATTATTATGTAGATAGAAGTACTTACTATTTAAGTTAACTTCTTAAAAGTGTATATAAAACAACTATTGCTAATACTGTTATTCTTGTTTTTATGTGTATTTCTTTATCAAAATACACAAATTACATTATCTCTCTTACATTTTTGAAATTGACATTCTGGCTACTATTCTTAACTGAAGGTTTGTAGAGGTTATGAATAATTCGAATCAAGAAAGAACCAAAGATAATAACAGTTCGGGTGTGATAGTCATTATACATGGGTGAAGAGTAGGTGATGTTGACCGAAGATAAATTGCATTGATACAAATTCATTCATCCTTTCTTTTTTGTACTTTAAGTTTTACCATTATTTCATACTTTCTCGTTCCCAATTTTATTTATTTTCGAACAATATTTTTCGTGCTTAGTTGTCTTCATTTCAATGGATAATAAGACTACACGTCGTTTGGTCCTCTTCTGCATTTCTTCTTTGTCTAGGCTTCGATTGAATCACGGAGGCCTAACTGTATTCGATACTTGGTTCTTATCATCGTTATTTATTATTCATTTATTTGAACACAGATATTGGTACAAAGGGACACCGAATACATGTGCGCCTCACAAGTCATTTGATTTATATGTGGGCTGTGATACTTCCCGAGTGCCCAAACCGAAGCAGATGGTTTTATTAGATGGCCACACCTGGAGCCTTGGACCTGAAGGTCTGATCCACAAGGCAGTTGAGCAATGTCAGGAGATGCAGTCCCATTGTATCCGGTGACCAACGATTTGTTTCCTTAAGATCCTGGAGCCCATGTAGACCATTAATTTGGAATGAGGGTTTTCCAACTCCCCTAGGTGGACCCTCCGCGACCACCGACCCAGTTAAAGCGCCGGACATTCGCTTTTTGTCCTCTCAATTTCGCAAACAACATCCCCGCTGAGAGAAGGCACTGAGTAGGACGTCTGTGATGGTGGCTGTATACGCGTAGCCATGTGACAGCATGTTGAGAGGGAGAGCGAACTCCCCCACCCTCGACCGTACCAGGGCATTTGGGGGCTCCGATCATTACTACAAATAATTACAATAGTCATTGTTATTACTACAAGTGATAATAATAATACTGTATTATTTAGATTCTTACCCATCTTATTGATTCCCTTTTGGTGTGCTGATGTAGTGTGGGAACTTGAACCAAAACACCTATATTCCAAACTCTTCTCTGATTATAGCTTTGTCACAATGCTAATATATGACGTTACGACTTCGATCGATGCTCATTTATATTGGGTCCTAAGTTGTTGTTAGTTGTTTAACAACTTTTAAAAATCTATTCTGTGTATGTTATAGTCAAATTATGTTATCCGTTAATTGATTGTTGTAAATTATGTAAATGTTTTAAGGGATTTTTTCAGTTTATTTTACTTATGTTTTTTTCCTAAAAATTTCCATTTCCAGCTATCATCATGTATATTTTTTTGATGGACCAAGGTCGCCTTGTCTCACTAGATGACAACTTATTATCTCAAACGTAAGAAAACTTTTTTAATCGATTTTTCTATGTGAATGAAGTGTTGTTTTAGTAGCCTACTACTCCTAAGTTATTTCTCTAACGTTTTATTCGTTATATATTTGTCAAAAGTTGTACACTTACTTTAGAGAGGAGTTTTGATGATTCTGCACATCAACTTGTACTGTAGTTGGTGCTCTTTTGGATAATTAATATATATATATATATATATATATATATATATATATATATATATATATATATATATATATATATATATATATATATATATATATATATATATATATATAATTCGAGTTTAAAGCTATAAAAGCCTGTAATACTGCACATTTCATTGTATAACGCACTACTGGTATTTTACTTTGGTTGCCTGATCCCTAACTATGTGACAGCTTTTTTATTATTCAGTGTAATATATGCACTAATTCCAACTATTTCAGAATAATGATTAAGAAGCTTCATTTTTAGCTACTTCGTCCTATGTTGGAACTTCTCTCTGATTTGGTGTGCGACCACTTATGTAGAATGGTGTCTATTACTCATGATATATTTTTAAAACTCAGTCTCGGATTTTATGTGGTTAAAGGTCGATTGATGTGGTGGTTTGAGCTTGAGTTTCTTACTTGCTGACATTTGTCAACAAGGCTAGTTGGAATTGACGCTTTATTCAATATGTGTAGTGTTTCCCGTGTTGATCTTGTTAGTTGATTTAAGAATATCTTTAGAACATTGATGTACAAGGATAATAATTTCTGGTATACAGTTTATTCTGTAATTTTGATCATTCAAAAATAATTTTCAGTTCAATTATTATTATTATTATTATTATTATTATTATTATTATTATTATTATTATTATTAACATTTTACAGTCACATTTATTTATCGAACTCGGTAATTATCCAAAGCTTTCATCTACATCTGTTCTTGGTATGACTGATTTATGGATGAACTGATTAGGTTTAAGATATCATCTTTTGAATTTTTTTTGCGAAACTTATTCATCCATGTAGGTAAATAGTATTTTTACATTATAGCTGATAGTCCTATCATACGGAAAAACCCTAAACTGTTTATCATCTTGATTCATAGTCCTATTTTGAACCTAATAGACAGTTTGTTTTCTAAGGTTATTTTAATGTTACTTAAAAGTTGTCTATATTAATTTTATTATTGTGCTTATTGTATAAAAAAAGTTGATCTGACCAGTTGGGAAATTACTGTTTACTATTTATGTTCAGAAGGAATTTGTGGAGATTTTAGAAATTTCACAGATTGAAATCATAAGTCAATTAAATCTAGACCATCATGGAAAACCTGGAAGCACTGGACGGCCGTTTCGTCCTAGTATGGGACTCCTCAGCAGCAGTGGTCTAGCTTCAATTGACTCATGATTTCAATCTACTATTTATGTATTGTGTAAAGAGATGAATAAATTAACATGTGTTAAACATTATTTATTCAACCTACTAATGAAATAGATTTAATATGGAGTTCATGTGAGACATTAAAGAGGAAGAATGTATTTGTAAAATCTCAGTAAAAGAATTTGAAGTAAATCCAACATTTCTCCTTGTAATCTGTTCCAAGGTTTTTCCAAGAAAAATACATTCTTCTTCTTCTTCAATGTTCTACTGTTGAAATGTCTCAATGTCTAATTTACATATATGTGTATATTACCTCATATCTTTATATATATTTATATTTATTATTTTTACTTCTTTATGTAGAAAGATTTCTTCATATATACATGAATATAAATTTTTTTTTGTCATTACAGAAAGTTGTTTAGATCTTTGTCTGTCTACCTGTCTTATTATCATTGGACTATCTAAATAAACTGTACCTAGGATATAGATTTTTGTCATATGATATAGTTGTTTGTATGCGCTTATGTGTACAACTAGCTTATATGTTCCTAGGTGTATTATTGATGTACTGGTCACATGGGCAGGAAATTTGACCAAACATCATACTGGAATATAATAATAATAATAATAATAATAATAATAATAATAATAATAATAATAATAATAACCTTGTCCCATCTTTTCTACATATGACGTAAAGCCTTGTGTTGGTTGTAGTCTAGATTATAAGTTGCACATTTTCACTTTAGATTTGCATCACTACTAATTAATGGTATTTATTTATTAGCTTAACAACTTAGATTAACGTTAAATTGTTTTACAATAAAGATTTTTTTCTTTATTGTTTTTGATAAACATCATTTAGTAAATTAGGCAGATAGTAAGCGATCCCACAATTGACCTGTAAACCAGTTAGTCATACACAACGTAGAACCCGACACATATGTGTATCGTTTCAGGTTTCTATATTTGTCGACTTTGAGACTATTTAGTTTACAACCTGACGATATAACTGGTTCTAAATGAAACTTATTCACCCATCACAACTCCTTGAATGCAGAATCAGTAAGCTTGTTACTTTATCACATATAATTGATATTATAAACTATCGGTTATACCAATATATCCATTACGTTCTTTTTAATAGTAAATGAATAATCTGTCTTGGTTATTCCCGTAATTTAACTGCCTATTTGATCAAAATACTATTTATGTCTAGTCCCTTACACTTCCAACTAGTTTTAATCATTCTTCTATTTCGGTTACTTAATATTATTACTAATAAAATAGTACCATCCTAATTCACATACGCTACATCTGAATGACAATGATGAGTTTTCGTCACTTTATTTCTTTCAAGGGTTTCAAGTCTACGCAATGTTTTGGCTCATGATTTTGACCTACCATTGAATAAACAAATTCTTTTAGTATCAGGTGGCTTTCAGTTGGAACCAGGTGATAAATTGTCAACTTATGGTGCGGGTTTGGTAAGTGTAATATACCGTCATGTTGTTCTTATTATTATTATCATGATTATTATTATTGAGTGGTTGTGTGTTTCTACCAGGAGATTTACTTGTTGACATCGGACATGTAGATGATATAGTTATATTTTGTGAAGACACTGATAAAATGCGGTCTCCAGACCACTTTAAGGAACAATGGTAGCATATTTGTAATGCAGTCCTCTCACTGTAAATGCAAAAGGTTGCTTCAGGATTGCCCTACATCTTTTCCTGAATTAATGGTAAGGAGTGAAGTAGTTAAGTCCGTCAATCACCTTTCTTATATTATGGGGTTTCATCAATTTCGATGAGCTGGTGTCTGACGCATTCTCGGCAAAAATTCAAAAAGTTCTACTGGTGTTTTCCAACTTGCGTCAATTTTAAGGCAGTCAAGATATCGATCCACTAACCAAATGATAAGTTTACTGCACAGCAGTTTGTTCCGTTCTGCTCTATGGGTCTGAAACTTGCCCTTTCATAATCAAGGAAATTCGTCGATTATTAGTATTCGAGGTTAAGTATAGTGTATTAATATATGTAATTAATTAATAGATGTATACTACTTGGTTGGGATCTGCGTGATTTTTGTAACTAATTGTTATAGACTTTAGATGAGGTTGCTCAAAATTGTTTTCAGTGGCCCACGCTCATGCATTCTTTGTCTTCCCCCAAATCCTAAGCTTCCGAATTACTCAGTTTTGTTTTTTGTTTCACTAATCTATATTTTCTTGAATCGTAATTTCAATGCCTAATCTCTTCTTATACCACCGTTACTGTTACTACCTCTACTATTCCGGGATTTTCTCCAACTATTTTATATTTTTGTGCTAATGGAGTATGGTAACCTGTACCGATGTACATATACACCTTGTTTTACGTTGCGACTGCGTGGTTTTGTGTTTATGATAATCTTATAAGATTTAATCCCAATGATTTGTGATCTGTGTACTACTCAAGGATATCAGGCATTGTTTTTTCATCAAGTATCTCACACAAGTAAACCACAGCTCTACTTGTTTATTAAATAGTGGAAACAAACTGTGGATATCTTGATGTTAGATGTAACTTATACAACGTTGTCGATTAATTTAATTGTTGGTGTTTATAGCGCAAGTTGACATGTATCTATGTCGATTAGTTTTTAATGATTGGAAACATGAAAGAGTGGGTAGTCGTTAAACGAACAATTGTGTGCTACTTATTACAGTTCTTTAATTATTCATGATCAACACTTCCCTAGAAATACTATCAGCCGATGTGTTACTGGATCAAATACATACTATGTATGTATATATATTCCACTGCTAGTCACAATCTATTTGTTCTAAAAAAATATCGTTATTAAGTTTTTTGACATGGATGGTTTCAAGTAAATTGAACATTTATTCATCAATATTAGACCGAATAGTTTGACAAAATTTGGGTAATAATCCTAAAGAAGTTCAAACAAGTTTGCTGAAAGAAACGTTAAAATTACTTAGTTTTCAATCGCTGAGATTATTTCAAATGTAGTTTTCAATTATAATAAATTGTTTGAATTGTTATTAGTAGTAGAATAATAAACCTGTGTGATCTTGATGAGTAGTAAATCGGGTTTCTGACATCTGACAACTTAGTAAGCCACGTGTTCCGTTTTACTATTTGAACTTGGATTAATTTTAATTTGGTTATTTATTCTCTGAAGAAGTAGCTTACGCTAAGTTAGGAAACGTCAGAAAATCTAATTTTTCTACTCATTGGGATATTACAAATATATTATTTATTTCTAATCACAAATCTGTTAATCAGTCATATGCAATGCAGAACCTGGTACGTGTGTACATCAATTCAATTTGCCACACCATATCAATACACCTAGGTGAAATTGTGAAGGTGAATTACACAATAATAGAAATAGTAATATTATTCATGGTAGTAAAAACATTTAACACAGAAAATATGATTAGAGAAGAAAAAATGAATTTTTGGAACGTTAGTTTTAAATTAATTTCGAAACCGTGGTTCTAGAAGGATATGAAAAACAAAGAAAGAGTGAATGCACCTATTGTCTTTTATTATTGCTAATTCTGTATCATATTAACCAGTATAGTCTTATGAATAATCTCATGAACTGAACTATAAGCAAGCAGTGGGAACCAACTAGCAATATGGTTCATCATAAATAAATTGTTAAGTTTATTTACTCATTTTCATTGTATTTATAACATATTTTTATATTATTCAAGTAAGTTACTATTTCAGTGCTGATGTATGTTCTCGGGTCACAGCTTTAGTTGTAATGATATATATCTATTGTGAAAGTTTTAATTCTATGCTGTAAAAGTTTCTCTCAACTGAACAAAGAATTGTTTTTTTAATTTTTACCAAAAATGTTGTATTTATTAGAACAACAACACTTTAACCCTCCAACAATATAAACGTGTTTTTACACGGTTTTCTTATTCTCAGGTTCTTTCCTTATGATACATATATAGTTGTGTATAATGCAGAAGACCACACTTGATTGATTAAAATTGCTTAGCAACATTGAACTGGTTAGATTGTGCATAATAATAATAATAATTGTTATTATTATTACTATCATAATTGTTATTGTTATTATTAGCGTTTCACACGATAGTTCGATATGGCAAGTCAGCTTATGTTTTACTCATGGTCATTTGCCGTGCTTACTGTGACGTTCGTGTTATATCGGCTAGCAACGTAATATTTAGGTTTAATAAGTGCTAGGAGTAGTGTCCCTCCTCCGACTAAGATCAAGTCTTGACGTATGTATCCTTGGACTTCTACTAGTTTGTTGTATCTTTAAAGAAATTCTAACTTTCTGTGTTTAGTGCCTGTGAATAGTCTATAGTTGTAAGCCTCAGAGAACCTAGTTTGAGATCCGTTTCTGTTGTCTTGATGTACTCATTCTTTATAATTTTCTGTCGATCTTGAGCTCAAACCTTATTCCTTAGTTTTCATTCTGCCCATTTCATTCATACTTTCCAACCTATATTCCATACTTTTCTACAACTTCTCACTGTGACATGCGGTGTATGAAAGTTGATACTGGTTGATCACTCGGCGATTTGTGAATAACCCATTGTATTACCTCAAGTTATTATTATTATTTTAATCCCTTTGAATTCATATCACTATAGTCAGAGAATATTAATGCAACAAAAAACAGCCAACCAACCAGTCATAAGCAAAATAAAACATAACCCATATTTATACACCATCAGTTCAACTTACCACAACATATCACAAACAACAAGACGAAATTATCATGATAAATAAAAGAGTAATAGAAGAACTAACAATACTAATAGTTGTGGTGTTGATAATAGAAAACATTAGGAGTATAGACAATGTAATTCGAACTGGTTCTGTGTATATTCGTAGGAGAGGGACTTCTCACCTAGACTGAGAGTGATACAAGTTAGTCAAATATCAACTTCAAAACATATCTGTATGATACTACTACTTATCTGTCAGTTAAATTAAAAGATAACCATCTGGTTTAATTCTTGTCCACTATGAACGATGTTAGGGGTGAAAGTGGTCGTCAAATATTTCGTTGGTTTTACTGTTCAATAATTCACAAGTCTGTAATAAATCACAACTATCACTCTATCAGTAAATATTTCACATAACTGTAAAACACTCATCACTACTATGGTGTCAAATTTAATTGTTTACATAAGAAATGGATAAAGTAATTAATTAATGAATTCAGTGTAAGTAAACATTGTTTCTATTAAGTAGGATACTGTAATTTTTGGAAATATACATATATGTATAATGTTATACACACATCACTTGAACGAGTACTTTACACTAAATAATGATTATGTGCATCATTATTTATTTAAAAGTGATTCCTCTCAAGTTGTAATTTTATACTATCCATTATTCATGTTTTCTGCGATCTAAAAAAATGCATTAGAGTAATAATAAATTAATCGTAAAGATAATTCCCTAGAGAAATATGATTCTTTTCAAAAGTGTAGTGTACATTTACAGGTTAAATCGGTTATCACAAAAATTCTAAATACGGCTTACTAACGAATACCAGATATGCATGAAACCTTAATGAATCAGGATTGTATCCTAACTACCTACAACCACTTAACTTTTCTATATTGTGTTTGATTTCATCATGATTCTCTGTAGTTATCGGTAAATTCACCACACGTAATTTAACTATGTCCATCTTTCAAATGTTATTAATCTTATTTAACGGTTGATCAATTTCAAGCAAGTATGAATTTCAGGTTCATATATTAAGGTTTCAATTTTTAAGGAGCTTTAAGATGAGATGGTGGTTGGAGGTAGTCGATAGGAAACCCTGAACCTAGGTTTCCTGCTATTTGGCACTTATCATCAAGGTGTACCTATAATCTTGATGGAACTGATGCTCCCTGACAGATTCGATCTCATCGCAATATAGTGCACGCGATGTTGAGTCACCTAGATTAGTGGCCGCATCGCAACTTTGTCAATAGAATTGTATTAAAGAGGACTTGACATACATTACATAGATCACTACCCAGTGATCAATCATTTGTAAGGAGTAGCTTTGTAGTGATAGAGAACTCAGGTGGGGAAAACCAATTTATTCGTTAATACAAAATTGCAGAATGTCTTCGTAATATACGAAAACCATACATTAAATACTTCATTTGTACATCTTCCATCAGTTGTCTCCTACATAATCAATCGCTCTTTCATTCCTATTTCTACTGCAGTTACTCTCTGTTTACATATCTGTTCTCTTCAGTTCGATCTTTCCAACCTTTTTCTGCCAGGCATTCCACTTCTGGCTGCTGTTAGATACTACTTATGTCGACAGACATAAGTAGCATACACCTCAGGTTTAGTAATAATAAACCTTCTGGCATATTATTTTTGAGTAGTTTCTTTCTCTTTATTATTGTTTTATCATTTTAGTTTTAAGATGATTCTCTGAAGAAAAAACTAACACACACTTCACTTCTGGATACATATGTTTAAAGATGAATCATTCCGGTGCAGTAATTTTATTTTGATTTGATTAAGTAACAACAATTTACCCATGATATGAGATAATGGTGATTTTGAACAAGGCGTCATCATTTCGAAAATTTTACAGATATTGGTTTATATGGAAGTAGCTTGGAAGAAAACAAACCAGTGCCAATAAAACCAAGACGAGTTATCAGTTTATCAGTTCACTGACTACTGAATTGAACAGTGTTATTCGGTGTAAACTATTTGGTTAGTTGGCGTTGGTTTGATTATTGTAACCAATAGTTGAAGATGTTTGGTGAAGTGAATATGAATAGGTTACAATGATGCGGATGCATTCACTCCTTGTCTTCTCTTAGAACTTGATTTTTAATTTGTGAATTCATTCCGTCTTTTCGAATCACACTCTCTATACTCCTAATGTTTTCTATTATCAACACCACAACTATTAGTATTGTTAGTTCTTCTATTACTCTTTTATTTATCATGATAATTTCGTCTTGTTGTTTGTGATATGTTATGGTAAGTTGAACTGATGGTGTATAAATATGGGTTATGTTTTATTTTGCTTATGACTGGTTGGTTGGCTGTTTTTTGTTGCATTAATATTCTCAGACTATAATGATATGAATTCAATGACCGATCGACTATATTCAATAAGTTATTTCTATTGTTTATGATACTTATGTGTTGGTAGCCTAGTGATCATATATCGGTTGCATCACTTAGCTTTCAACCCTTAGTTTATAAGTTTTAACCTCACTTCACCTACTTTGGTTCGAACTGACGGTTTTTATCTTAAGTGTACGTGAAGTCAATATGAGTTGTGATTTGGTTACTACATCACATAAAGTAGACTGTTTTATATGGTTGATAATTCCCATTCACTTGTTTCCACTCTGTAAAACTGTGTCAACATGCTTTGGTTTTGATTGGACAGTTTATTTTCCACGTTCATATGATTAAGTAAATCTCATGTTTTAACAGTATCCTTGGCCTTCTTCACATGATTATCATGACTCCCAGCCAAGTTTATAAACATATACTTCGTAAATAAGTTGCCGATGAAAATCATTTTTATATTTGTAATAAATGTCTACATATGTCTACAGGATGCGTTGTTATTTCTTGTTTTGATAATCAATCATGATATTATTAAAACTGAAATTATATCAGTTTAGTTCAGATGACATGATCAACTCTGTGCTTTTATTCTCTCTGTATTCTTTCTATGTCTTATTCAGGATAAAACTAATCCAATTTATGTGTTTACGCAAACATTTTCAAATGATACAACTGTTCAAAAACCAGATGTCTTGCAAGTCAATGGTTAGTTTAATTGTTTTCTGTATTATGTTACGTAATAAAATGAATTAGATTTAAAAATAAGGCTTTTGCTACTACTTTTAAACGTTGGACTGCTAAAATCATCAGATAAAAGTATTTACAGGTCAAAATCATTGCTGTATACCACTGAGGAGCGGGAACGTACAGTTCATTAGTTCACTCTGTCCATCTTTAGTCTTAATTTACCACACTCTCTTGAAACCCTTCAATAATGTAGTCCGTCAAAGGGTCTAATGTAAGCCATGTTATTTGGATATATTAGTGATGTGTATCATAGTTTAGTCAGTCATCATGAAAAGCAGTATTTAAAATAAATATGCCTTGAATCAACATTTACAACAAGAAAAAATCAGGATTAAAAACGATATTTTGAGTGATTGTAGAAGAAATCAAATATAGTCAAAATTGTTGTAACCTCAGCTTCATATTGACTGCTTGTATAATAGGGTTTTCTAATTATAGGGGTAGTTGATTGTGGAGTCCACTGTACGCCCATTAGATCAGCGACCTGTACATTTAATGATAAAATGTTGACCTCCTCTTAATCACTAATTTAATAACCGTGAATAAGGACTACAAAATCTTAACGCCTATTGATTGGTCCATCCAGCTCCTGTAGCCACAACGACCAGTCAGAACAAGAACACTGCAAGCAGTTAGACCTTTTGTTATGTCATCCTCTCTTGTCATTCCTGCTGAAAAACTCATGTGATTATAAACATTGATTCCTTATCCACAACAAACCTCAAATAAGAAGTTACCCTAAGTGATACAAACCTGAGTGATTAGGTCCATAACCTTTCCATCAGTATAAATCGAAGTTGACAGTAAATAGGTATATGTAACACATCTTCATCACGTTAATCGATAAAGATTTGCATCCTGATCAACCAATTTACCATCTATACCTATCCCTTTACACCTAACTTCAAAATCACTTATTAAATAGTTTTTTTTTCATTTCCTCTTGTAAAATTACATAATATCCGTACAGCATATGATTTATATCGAGAATATCACATTATATCCTTACTTGTTACAATAGATTAATAGTTAGAGCGCTCTATTTCCGACCAGTAGTTCCACCATTGTAATCCCATTTCGCCTACTTCAATTTCAGCGATTGGCAAGCATCATAGTTCCCTTATACAAACTTTGTAACACTTCCAAATACTTAAATGCTTACTTGATAAATGTATTACATTGTACTCTTTTTATTATTTAAATATAAATCCACTAAAGCTTATTCATTTTTTCAATCTAACAAACCAGTCAACGAGTTAAACTAGTTTGCTATATGTTTTCGAATTAGTTTAACACTACACTCTTTGTCTTCACTTAAACCTTGAGATTAAAATTACTTTATACCTTTCTTTCTACGAACTAGTTTTTTCTCCCTGTATCATATCGTCATATGAAATCGTTTTTTTACTGTCACTGAAGTAACTGATTATATAGATTTGTTGTTCATCTTGTTGTGTGAATGAGGTATGGCAACTTGGATCGATGCATCGTACGTTTTAACTGACTGAATGTTACTGGCACAAGCTAGGTGGTTTCAAAAGTTAGATAGTTTTTTTTTTCGAATTTCCAGTAAAAGTGGGCAGTTATCGGTTTGTACATTTGCCAATTTTTTTAAAAAATTCGTCTAGGTGTATTCATTCAATTTAGTTGCAATATGCTTATCGGTTTTATGCTATACATGATAAATTTTTTATTAAATTCCAAAAAAAAGATTTATTTTTTTATTTTTACTTGTCCAATTTAAACTTCTCTATAATTCGGTGAAAAAGTCTTTAAAGTTTGTTAAAATGCCAAAAATATTTCGATCAGTTAGTATTCTGTGGAATTCTAAAGTTTTCCTTTGGAATAATGAGTTATCTATCGTATCTTAATTGATTAGATTGGTTTCGTTATCAGTTTTAGCATGTTTCAGAAGTCTTCTAGAAGCTTAAGGTCATACATCATAAAGCCACAAATCTATTTGTTTTCTTTCTTTAAATAAATTGTTTTCTTACCGATGTTTAACTAAGAAAAATGAATAAATTCTTTTCTTTTCAATATCACAGATGGAGGATATCCACGACAACTTGCCAGTCTATTAGAGCTAGCTCCATCTGAAAAGGTATTTGAAGAGCGATTACGTCTTATTCGTTCACTTACTCCGATTGGTCGTGAAGCTGCCAATGCAATTGAACAATTGGTTTCTGAACAACGTCAAATGATACAGGTTTATACGTCCGCATATATGTAGTTTGTGTGACTATTTTTATCAGTAGCATATTTCTACACTAATAATGCGATTGATTGAAAAGTATTTTCAACGTGATAGGTCAATGTTAAAAGTACAATTTAGTGATGATTTTAGCGGGTCTTTAAATGATCTGGAAGCCAATATTTAGCTGATCAGAATGTAGGTGATATAAGTGAATAATTGATTACATAGAAACTCAAAGTGTTTGTCTAGAATTACCTCATAGGTTTAATTTTAGGATTTAGCATTTAAGTTTAGGGGTAATGGTTAGGAACAGAGGGAAAAATGCCTTGTCACATGAATGAATACATGTTCAGTTTTTTTATTATTGTAAACGTCAATCACATTTAAGTGATCTCCATACATCCATAAATCATAGTCTCTATTACACTCCCCTCATGTCTATTAATTTAAAGCATGTTAATAGTGTAGTCTTTGTAAGTTTTATTTAGTTTTTTATAACTTTCAAGGTGTTCGTTATCGCGTTTCGAATTTCGCGCAAAAGTCCAATAGCCATAATCATAAATAGGATTCGTTTGTCAGTGGATTATACTTTCAGTCAAATTATTATCAATATTTTCCACATTGAAAACCACATGAAAACCCAATTTCTATGACAAATAAGATATGAAGCTTAACTGCAATTACTGATAAACAGACACTTCATGTTTGGACCCCGCATTCTACCGCATTTCTATTGGGATAATCGAGTAGTTTTTTAGTAATAATTCGCATCAACTATTGTGTTTTACACAAAGCTGAATTCATGTCTGATTGTTAAGTTTTGTTCGTAATTATTACTAACTTAAGAGACACACATACGCAGATCATTTGGATTTGGTTATCGAATCTTACGATTACTGATAAGAATTTTTCAAATGATTTGTTTAATTCGGAATAAAATAGAGTTTACCTGATCATTTGGATTATAAAATAAAGAGCTTACCGATTTACAGTTGTCGTTTGCAATGGAGATCAAATTATGTAGATCATGAGTATTAGAGACAGTGAGTGAGTTAGTAGTGCTCGATCGTAGTTTGAGGCTTGCTTCTGTTCAATATTATGAAGGGTTTGTGGAAACTGTAGGATTTTATGATTTTCTTTACAGACTTTCGACAAATATTGAATACCAAATAAGTACAGATTAAAAGTTTTCTCCTAGTATAACACTTTATTAGTGCTCATTTAATACAGTATCGATGAACATTGAATAGAAGACCTTCAGGTATCGTAACTACCATTGAGTTATTATTCAATGTTATACATTTCTAAATTTATTGAAAATAATTAAACTTTAGTTGAATCAAGCAATAAAATAGAAATTTCTTAATGAAATTACAAGAATCCTAAAATTTTTGATTTACTATAAATCACTTATATTTAGTAACTTATGCCAATTTCCAACTGGTTTATCACTTTTCTATGGATTTGTATGTTTGTTAAATACAAATTAATTGTTCACAATATTATAAATGGTATAAAATATAATTTCATCATTTCACCTTATGATTTGTCGATATGTATATGTTTGCAATTAGATTAAAAGGGATTCTTGTTTAAATCAAATACAATTAATTGATATTTATAAAGTGGGATTTTGTATCTGATAAGATTTATACCTCTGTCAGCCTATATATACTTCCTATTTAGTGCGAATATTTTCTTTGTTATATTCAGTTCATGATATTTAAACCTTTCATAATTCATTGACAGTTGGTTTATCTGTTACATGTACATTTTATTAAAATAATTTTAGTATTACCATTTAAGTTTAGGAAAATGTCGATATCAGTCGGACCTTACTAAACTATTACTCTGTTCTGAAAATTTGACATTATTACATTTGCATAATCAATTCATAATACCCTTTAGGTTAAGAAAAGACTACAGTTGATGTAGGGTGTTATCATGTGTGTTTGTATTTTAGAAGTTGATAATTGTTGACAATATTTCAGTGATTCACATCTCTGTTCTGACTTAAAATAAAACATACATGGGTTTTATGAGTTTGTTTTTCTGTAGCTACAAAAATGATTCGTTGAGATATCATGTTTCTTAAAGTTTTGGAGATTCTATATCAATTAGTCAAAGTGATCTCGTGTAGTGTTAGAAGTATGAAGGCGATTATTGTATCTCCGTTTCTCATACTGTGGTAAGACACGTCTTTTCGAGGTAACTGGCAAGCAAAATAATTTAGTTGTTTTGACTATCTGAGTATGATCGCAGTACTGAAGAGATAACTGCTTGATACTACTCACAGATGGTCTTTTTATGAATAGTTTTAACGTATTAGGTCAGTACCTTTAAAACCTTATCGGCGGCAATGGAAATCCATGAGGCAAAGTAAAGTATGCTATATTGATTGGGGAATTTTTTATCAACTCTCTTGTTGTCACAAGGTAACATCACTGTTGCTGTTAGTTGCTTAAAGAAAACACCTTATTGCCATTATTACCCCGTGTACATTAGACTTTACGTCTTCACCATCAGATCATGTGTTTGTTCTTATTGCCCTCCAACTGATATACATGGTATAGTAGGATAAAATGGAACAAATTTCCCAGCTGACATAGCTCGACTGAGTTGATACGATATATAGTTTTGATCACCACATAAAGGTGGCAGGTACGATCTGTAGGCATTATGTATTCGATGAAACCAAGAGATAAAACCTTCAATTTCGATATATATATCAGAATGGGTTTTTTGGAGAGTTTAAGAAATTTCACAAGTTGAAATCATGAGTCAGTTGAAGCTAGACCACCATTGAAAACCTGGAAGCACTGGGCGGCCATTTCGTCCCGGTATGGGACTCCTCAGTGGTCTAGTGTTTAATTGCTCGCGCGCGAAGCCAGTAGGTCCTGGGTTCAAGCCCTGCGTGGTGCGGGATCGTGGATGCGCACTGCTGAGGAGTCCCATACTATGACGAAACGGCCGTCCAGTGCTTCCAGGTTTTCAATGGTGATCTAGCTTCAACTGACTCATGATTTCAACTTGTGAAATAAATAAATAAATAAATAAATAAATAAATAAATAAATAAATATATATATATATATATATATATATATATATATATCTGTCTAACTCAATTAATTGAAACCATATTTTCATAAACTTGTCGCCTTATTTTTTAGGGATGGTGTGTTGCATTGGCTAATTTAGCCGAAGTAGCGGCAGATACAAATAAACGTTTGTTGTTTGCAACAAGTCGATTAGTTCAATTTGAAGGATGTGTATCAGATTGGGAACGAAAGTTGTACAAGTATGTTGAAATATACATTATTTTAAGATTACCACTTACTAATATTGTGCATATTTTAATTAGATTTGTAATAACAATAATAATAGCAATCTAATGTTTTACGTGCTTTACCCATAAATAATCAGTTATTGATAAATATTGCTAACCAGTAAACATCAATGATGTTAAGATCAGATTATACTACTGAATTGCTTTGTAGTTTTCAGCTTTTTTCAGTCAATCAGAAAGCATCAAATATGGACGATTGAATTACAATACAAAATCAAAGAAGTTAGCAATAGTGTAGCATTCTACATGATGAATTAAATCTAATTTGTCTATAGATTCTTAATTATGCAATCTAACAATCTCCTTCTGTAATTCTTAACCATACTTCTAACAGTAAACTCTATTCTTAATAGAAATCCTAACCTTAAGAAATACTGAAGCGAAATATCATTCATTCTCATTTATTTTATTCCCTCATTCACAAGTTAATACTTTTTTTTAACAATCTGCAACGTCTTAGTTGTATGTTCTTTATTCGGAGTCAATTACGACACAGTTGTTAGTCAACATTTTAGTGTGTTGTGATATGGTTCAACCAACATCATCCTAGATTGATATATACACCATAACCTTGAAATCGATTTTTCTAATTTGAAATCATTCCACTTTTTTATCTTTAGCTTCAACGAATTAAAAAAGGAATTATCAGAATTGCCGTTACCACCGCAGTTGGTAGCTGGAACTAGTGAAATCCTTGATCAGAAAGAATCGGTAGGTTAACTATTTTTTTTTCCAGATGGATATTACCCTTCCACTTATTCAATACATGTGGTTATCTAGTAATATAACTTGAAGATTACTATCACTAGTGCACACTTATCGTAGGTTTAAGCTCCGCATTGGATTGAAAGATTCACTTAGTATATCGCAAGATGTCACATTAAAACTGATAAGACTGATTCAAAGTTTGGGATTACATCAATCTATATTTTTAAAATTTTATTATGTTTTGAGAGAGATCTTTCTGATTATATGCTTGAAATGAGTCTTGAAAAGTCAATTCGAAATACATTTTATACAATAAATATTTGTATGAAAACGTAACTTTATACAACTTGACCATTTGCATGTTTATGCGGTAGTTTTTCTTGCTCCTGTAAAACTAGATACATAAGTCTCTTTTCCATCACATTCGATAGGATCTATCAGGCTGGTTTTACAAAAGATAGTTGAAATCAGTTTGTAGTTGATTCAAGATATTCAGCCTCATATTCTTTCTTTGGTGTTAGAAAATGTTTGTGATTCAACTTACTTTATTGTAATATAGAAGCTTTACTTACCTATTTAATTATTTAAGCCTTTTACTCCTCTTGGAGCATAAATTTCTAATCAGCGAATAAACGTTTTATACATTTACGTCTGTTACACCTCACTGAGGAGCATATGCCACCCACGGTGATCCTCCATCGGGCTCTGTCTTGGTCAATCCTTCCCAGTTGCTGTTCATTCTCTTGATATCAGCCACCAATTACCGACGCATTGTGTTCCTTGGTCTTCCACTTCTCCTTTTTGTTTGTGCATTCCAAATTAGCAATTGTCACGTGATGCAGTTTGATAATTTGTGCAATGTATGTTTTATCCATCTTCATTGTCTTTTCCTAATTTCCTCTTCATTTGGAAACTGATTTGTTCTCTCTCATGGTAGGTTTTTGTTGGTATCTGGTCAACGGACATTGAGCATCCTGTGTAGACAATTGTTTATAAATAGTTGTACGTTACTGATGGATGGTTGTAGTAGTTGTTGAAGTTTCAGCTCTATTCATTTGAATTGTCTTGACGTTCATATTGAAGATTGTGACTTTGATATTAATTAGTTGGTTGACAGTTGTTTTGATTTCCATATGTTTTTGAATTGTAGAAAGTTTGCCCTTAGCTAATTCTTGCTGAATATAAAAAAGTGAATAATTTCTATAAGGAACTATCATTTCATCATTTCATTCAGTGGATCTATTAGACCTATTTATTCGACTTGTGCATGATCGAAATTTTCTGTTTATTTTTAAACTCCGTTTATCAATTATCTGATTTTGGGAAGTTTATAAATAACTAATTTGTTTTATGATTATTTATTTTTCAGTTCAATTTTAACAATATTCCTAAGCCAACAAATTTATACGAATGGGTTTGTTTACAATCTGCTATATCTAGCGTCGGGACGCGTTATTCCTTACCATCGTCAACAATTAAAGCTGTTGGTTTACAAACGATTGCATTATATCTTGGTCGACATGTCGGTGTTGGTAGTGGTAGTACTGGACGTGTTCGTACAACAAGTACTGGTCATATTGGTGTCACTGGTGCTAATGATGGTATTATGTCAAATAATTCAGGATCCACTTGTATTGGATCAAATCAACCTACTGGAGTTTCTTTTTATACTGGTGGTTCTCAAACCAGCTTAAATAGTTTAGGCTCTACAAATTCAACAAATTCCTCAGATATGCGTTTCATCATGGATCATCATCAATATTCCATCACCAAAGATGGTAACGATACACATGTACAGGATCCTTCTTCTTCAGCATCTGATTGTTATGAGTCAGCGTTTTTAGATATAATTAAACGTGCATTACATGATATACATTCGTTACGATTTGGTCCAGATTCACCATTCAATTTTAATGCTAAACCACCGGATAATTTCAGTAGTGAATTAGTTTATGTTAGAGCGTAAGTGTATACATTTATTTATGTGAGCTTGAATGGAGCTGTTAACAGTTTTAACTATACCTTCGCTTAACCACACCGAGAGGTTCTCACGAGCCCGAATATACAATATTCTAGAACATCTGCTTGCATAACTTGCTCCACAGGGGCAGTTGAATTGGTAGATACAGAAAGAAGTGGCTAGTATAGGCAATTTATTTTTCAACGTCGGAGTGGTCATTGGGTCTATAGAAAACACTAACTGTAGTTTACCTGTATTAAAAGTCCTTTGGATTGATCTGCGTAGCTTTAGTCTTAGCATTTCGCTAGGTCCATCTCCTCTGAATTGTAAGCATATATACAGAGGCTTTTCGAACACTGTATCTATCAATCCAACTGTTGCCGTTTAGCAAGTTGTTTTGGCAGATGTTCTAGGACTTTATTTATATCTTTTTTTCAGTTCGTTTTATTACACAAACGTATTCATTTATAAGAATTCGAATCTTATTGTTGTTGGTATACTAAGGATCAAAAGATTGTTAGTCTTTATTGGTCTATTTCATGCCACGCGCAACGTAGAACCCGACACATTTGCATCAGTTCAAGTTTCTGTACTGCATTGGCACAGTGAGATAAAATTATTTCGAGATAAATCTAAAGTTGTGTGAATGTTAACAGTATTAATTGTCGTATTAGTAAAATGACTGGGTACAGAAGGAAGAAAGGTTTAAGGAGATTTCGGAACTCAGGTTCTGAAAGAAGATGAAGAGTGAATGAACCTGCGCCATTGCGAACAATTCTAAAACATGTCACACATAGTCTTTAATTGTATGTTATGATAATCACGCGGACTCCAACCAGGTAGCCTACACATATTAACATGGTTCAGACCAATTGTTAATGACTTCTTAAATAGATCCTGCACCTTTGTTTGTCCACCACTACCAAACTTGTGTCAGTTACCAAATATGTTGATTGAATACTTTCTTTTGTACCTCCATAGTTTAACTGTTGTACTATGTTGATCAGCAAAATTTGAAATACACATTTATGGTTTAGTGGATGGATTATTTAACTTTGAACTAATAGTTCATTAATTTGAACCAAGCGTCATTTAATTTGATTCATCCAGACGAGTGGCATCACTAACCCTCGTCCCTAACATACGATTCCATGTGACCTAAATCTGGCAGTAAGTAAATGTGTATTTAATAAAAAGCTTACATTCGATGATAAACGTAGTTCATTCGTTTGTTTTTTTATTGTCTTTTCATTTGTAAAATCTTGAATTTAGACAAACAAATCGTTTATGTGAACTGATTACAATGGTTACTAATTGTTCAAAATCAAATTATGATGAAATGACTACTTCTACTATGTCTCATCCTTCGACGAAATCATCATCCAACATTACCACTACTAATCTTGTGACTGGACTGAATACTGCAATGTCTGGTTCGAAAGATATTTCTATTGATTCAATGAACAATGGTATTACATCAAATGATTGCAATGAAGCTATGAATAAAAGAGAAATCCCTCGGTGCACATCATCGTCAACATATTCGTCAACTTTATTCCCATCGAAATTGCCATATAATGATGGTGTAGATGATATACACTTGATCAGTGTACGTGATGCGTTAGATCCTGGTTATTTCAGTCAACGTCTTTCACAACTTGACCCTTTATTGTGTGAAGCTGTAGATCTAGCCAGAAAAATGATTGGAATCGAACAGAATTCTATAAAAACTTTTCAGCAGATAATTCAACAAAAAGTGGTAAGTTATTACATTTTGTTATCAGTATGGGGTTGTGGCGATTGTTGAGTTTTAATTGAGATCATGAACCGATTGATGTTACACCACCATTGAAAACCTGGAAGCACTGGACGGCCGTTTCGTCCTGGTATGGGACTCCTCAGCAGTGCGCACCCACGATCCCGAACACGGATCTCGAAGCCAGGACCTTCTGTCTCGCGTGCAAACATTTAACTTTTATACCACTAGGCCGTCATCCGACGGTGTCAATGTCTAATTTCAACAAATCCACGATATTGATTGACCAACTTCCATTGTCTTCGGTAGTTATCTGCCTCTCACTCGGCACGGTTGAACTCGATTGGTTTTTGTCTTAGTCTTAAAAACATTCTGCATTTTATTCCAGTTGGTCTTTTTTCCTTTCATTTCCTCTACCTTTTGCTTTCAGAATTCATTATTACAGACGAAATTTATGGAAAATACACAAAATTCACAAGAATTAATTATTGCATTCAATCGTCTTTGTGAAATTCTCGGTATTGTTATGGAGAGTAAACTTTTGCTGGCTAATAATTTGTTTGATCGTCAACGGTAAGTTAATTGTGTTGCTTGTATTTGATTTATTCACTTTATTATTGTATAACATGTGCATATGTGTGAGTAGTAGTACTGTAGTGTAGTGACCAACATATTATAGTTTTCCAGTTCGTTTAAAAGTAACTGATTGAATTCTATTGTTCAGGTAGTAATGTGACCAACTTAGTTTGAGTAACTTAACATTGAGTGAACTATGTGGATGAGATGTTAAGTTTATTTTATTAATTGGGATTCCATAACTCTGTTCTCAATTCATACTGAATTTGGTTGTTTGGTTTACTTAAGGTTTGGACTCAACAACACTAGAGTTGGCGATAGCCAAATAGTTTAGCTAACCACTTATAAATTTTTATAGTTATGATTAAATGTCCTTTGTCTCTTCATTAAACTGACAATTGATACTGTAATCTACATTTTGTAGAACCGTTTTAAATAGGTTAAAGCAGAGATATGTTGAAGGCAGGGGTACAATGTAGTGATTTTTTTCATCGTATTTCCCCAAATAAAGAGTAACCAGTTTAACGTCAAATGTTCTTAGAAGTATGCGGTTCGTTGTCGCTTCCTAGGAGCCCATATCCCTGAAGGATATTTCTCCAGAGACCCTAAGAAGAAACTAATTTTGGGTGATGTTGATTGCCTTGGATTGTAAGTGTAAAGTCCAGAGAACAGCTACTATTGAGGCCGGTCACACATGGCATCTTTTTGAGTACTTATAAATGTGTTGACTTGCTATTTATATGACCTTGTCGCTGACTACAGAAATCAGTAGCACAAGGTGAAGTGTGAATTTTTGGAGCTGATCTCTTTTAACTTCACTTTGTTACAGTAAGTAACATAGCTAGAGATACTGGTTCTTTAAGGGAGAACACCTTTCTTTGGTCAAACCTCATTTCATTCAACAATGCAATAACGTAGCAGTTACGATTCAGGCAATAAAACTTAGTTCTAAAAGGGTTATTTTCGTCGAATTTTTAAAATGATCTTTTCACAAGCTATTCTTATAGTTACTGTCAATATACATCAATATAATATTTTAATAAAACGGAATATATTTTCATTGTACCTCTCCCCTCGAACTAATTATTCAATTTGAAATCACCTGTTTTATTGATTTGTGTTTGCATCAGCTGATTGTGCCAAAATCAATATTTTTTCTAACAAATGTAACTATTGATTCAAACAAACAATACAGTCTAGTGAAATTCAATTGTAACAATTAAATTAAACGATAACTTCTTCGTTTTGTTAGATAGTTTAAAAATGTGAGATTATTATTATTATTATTATTTTACAAAACAATATTTTAAGGTGACTGGCTCTCATGGTTACACCGTTTGTATGCTGATGTCAGTATTATTATTATTGTGCTTCGTGTAAAGTGTAACGTTAGTTATCAAGGTCAGTTTGACACGTACTCGCTGCGAGTTTGTTGTTTACGAAATTGAGTGGACGAAGTGCGAACGTCCGGAGCTTCAACCAGGTTAGCGGGTACTGAGTATCCACCTAGGGGAGTTTCCAAACCAATTGTGAACATGGAATCCACGATCCTGAAAAAAGAATGGTGTGCGAATCTATTGCTGGTCACCGAATACCATGAGACTACATCTCCTAACATTGCTCCACTGATTTGTCGATTAGACTTCTAGGTGAAATACTCGGGGAGTGGCTCCTTAAGAAAACTACCTGCTTCCGTTTGGGCACCAGGGCAACATTCTAGCCTTCACGCAAATCGAATGACCAAGTGTGATGCATATATTTCTGATGCATGTCTCCAATTATAAATGTTAATGTGTTTAAATAAATATTTGGATTCTACAATGCATATAACTTAATGACTAAATCAGCTAAAAACAACGTCACAACATGGCATTAATGTGTATTAGTTATTATATCATATGAAATTATGTATATATATGTATATATAATTTATGAATATGAGTAGTTCTCCTCTATAGTTCTGATATTTGGGAATTTTTAAATAATTTGTCTATTCTGTTGTGTTTTGCAATCTTGAAAAAGTCAATCTGAATCTTCCGTATGGTAATTACAAATAAGGTTGTTGTGATTCGCGGTTTCCAATACTTAATACTGATATTTTCTGTGCACGACGAGCCTGAAAAGAAAGTTTTTTTATTGACTAAACCGAATATATTATATTTGCACTCATTTATGTATATATAATATATCGCTTGAGAAATCAAGCATATCAGTCATATATCTTATTCCCCGAAAACAAAAGCTCTTTCTAGCCCAGTCATATGCACCTGTCATTTAACGATATCTGATTAGTGCTATGTATCAAAACACATATGCAATGTTTCAACAACAATAATGTTTTTAAGTTAAATTAATGAGTCTATCTAATTTAGGCCACCATTGAAAACCTGGAAGCACTGACCGACCATCTCATCCTAGTATTGAGACTCCTCAGCAATGCGCATCCATGGTCTCAAACGCGGGAATCGAACCTAATTTGTATTGGTTATTATGTTTATTAGTATATCACAAATTTTGCAGCTAAATCTTATTTGCATGTTGTAAATCGACATGAATGAATATTTAAGAAAGGAGTTAAAATTCGATTGGTTTTTTTCACGTTTCATAATGATCACATACAATATGTATATTACGTTTAACAAGTAAATTATTGCAATGATGTTACAATTGATTTGTAAAGTACCATACTGAATGTCTACAAATCATTTTCTCTCTTCATGTTATACTCACATGTGAAAATACTTCCGCAATGTGAAACTTGGAAAATATATTGTTTTTTTTAAATAAGAATGTGAAGTTCATCGTAAATTCGGTTATCAAAAGCGTAGATTCTTACATTTCGTCTATCAGTCAAGTCGAAAGTTTAAACATTGGAAATTGAGCTTTTCAGCTCACAGTTAGACTAAGAAAACTAAATGGTGCAACTAGTTTCATACTGGGACTAACTCACAATGCTAATTTGGTAAGATATATGGAAAAAGTCTTAATGTTCACTGAATACAGTGATTGATTGGTACATTTTTATATGGAATAGAATTTCCACCTTTTACGTAGGGCATTTCCTGAGATTATAACCCGATATGTTATGACTCATATCAATCAGTTATTAATTTAAAAAAATCAATATACTGGTACCTTACCTTGGCTCGTTCAACACTAGCTTTCTTCCAACGATCAAACATCATATGTTAATATATGAAGTGGTTGGGTGGTATATATAATATATATCTAACCATTTCAGTCGGTAACGACTGACTAAACTCATTGTTTGATTTTCTACTTTCACATCTTACCTTGGGTTCAACCTAAATATTGATTATTTATTGGTCCCAACCTACATCACATCTATTATCAAACACTACCGATCTGCGAGTATCCATCTCATTCATATTTCAATCTCTCTCTACCTACTTTGACTTGTCAACTAAGTAGTATCATTAATCTTCATACACTTAGAGTGTGACTTGAATCTACCTGAACAATTATTTGCACGGCCAAGTGAGTTGATAATTGAAAATCCATTTCATGTTAAGCTCTACATTCAGTACAAGTTCTAGTATGTACACTTCCATCTCATTAAAATTATACTTGTACGGTTTCACTAATTTGTAGTGTGAAAATAAAAAAAATCTGTAAAATACATAACAACTAATAAAAAGGTTGTTTTTTATGCGTATGGTGAATCATCATTGTTTTCAATGTTCAATAATATTGCAAAATCGAGTATTTTCAGGCATTTTTCTATTCATTTAATGATTGAGTGTTGTATATAAGAGTTTAATTTTCACTAGGTATCTCATTTCTATCAATATAAAGCTATCTAGGTATAACTTTATTGAAAACACTGCATTGTAGCCCATCCTCATGCCAGTTTACCAGAGTTTTAGAAAAAAAATTGTAAGTGGATACTATGCATGACATACAGCACTCAGTCACTTAATAAACAATAATTTTCTTGAAAAATGCTTAGTATCACACACAAATTGAACATAAAACAAATACGCTACAAATCCATGAACACACGAGTCTTATCCTTTTTCTCTAACTAGTTAATTATTTAAAAGTTGAACTATTGGGGATATTTCGTTACGTTATCATGTTTTAATAGAAAATATTCTCATTTTCTGTGCATCAATTGAAAACCTAAAAGCACTTAACAATAGCTTTGTCCTGATACACCACAGATGCCTTAGAAATATTGCTGGCGTCTGATGGGATAACCGGGTAAGTAATGGTGAGGTTAGATGCAGGGTAATAGGGAATGATGTTAAATCAGTTGAAGAGGTTGTGAATCTTCATCGACTAAGATGGTTAGGCCACGTGTTACGTATGCCTGAACACCGATTACCACGACGTGCAATGCTATCCGGTATTGGAAATGGTTGGAAGAAAGTTGTGGGCGGCAAAACCAAAACGTGGCATCAGTGCTTGAAGTCACTAACTTCTAGTTTGCGCGATGTTGGTAGATGCAGACTACTTGGTTGGGGTCCGCGTGACTATCGTAACCAATGGTCGAAGACTCTTGATGACATGGCTCAGAATCGATCACAATGGTGTCATCCTTTAAACTAAGAGATTAAAATCGCTTCATATCTTTCTTTCTACGAACTAATTCTTTCTTCCTGTACTATATCCTTATATGCAATCTTTCTTATATATATCACCACCTCTGAATTAACTAGTTTTATGAATCCGTTGTTCATCTTTTTGTGCTAATGAGGTATGACAACTTGGACCGATGCATATATGTGCCTGGTTCTACGTTGTAGCTGACTGACTGACTTGTCTTAATACAGGATTCTTATGTAGTGTGCATCCACAATTTCGTTGTCGGGCGTTGAACCCAGGTCTTTTGGTTTCGCACATGGACGCTTAATCTTGAAACCCTTGAGTTAAGATCTAGTAGTATACAAGTCAAAAATACATGTATATCATTTTCACATGTAAGATATGAAAGGAATATATTCTTAGAATAATATCTTGTTATTATCTTTCTT